GTATTTACACGTGACTAAAAATATGTTTGTTCCAACAAACTTCACAGAACAATGCTTCATTACTTCCCATCATCCCATTTCTTCCTTCTGCTCTTGTCTTCCTGTAATTTAAGTAAACAGAATCACATTCACTAATGATCAACTAATGACTGTTATTGCTAAAAAAGTATTTTTTTAACTTTTGTCTTTATATTTATGGCTAGGAAATGTCCGCGCCGCTGCCTTAATGCGTGTTGGCGAACTTCACATGCCTTCGAAATTTTCGCAGACATGCAGGTTTCCTCACGATGTTTTCCTTCACCGTCGAGCACGTGGTAAACCGTCACTTAAAATTGCAATTAACAATTTAATTGGTGCCGGCGGGGATCGAACCCGGGTCGCGTACTGTGAAATTTACAGCTTGCGCTAACCATCTGAGCTACCACGGCTTAATCATATACACACACACAATATTTAAATATAATTTGTTAACACTAAATCATACACATGTAAGAAAATAACAGAAAGAAAAGTAACTTTGTCAATAGAATAAACACTTACATCCATGGCCTTTGATGCGTTGAACTAACACAAATGTAGTATTGATATATCCACTGCGATCAAACGACCATACACTAACTCCATGATTGCAGTTGCTTGGTCTTATATAGTACCAATAAGTAATAATTCTAATCTAAAGAATTTCTGCAGTGGAATTGATAGTAACTTTATGCGTCAACAAGCTTATCTCACATTCTGTTGCTTATCTCAGCATTACTTCGTGTTGCGTCTTGTTCAGTGTATTGATGACTCAAATACGTTTTGTATAACACAAAATAATGCAATTTAATATTTAGAAATCACTATAATTGATCATTCCTATGTTAGTCATTGAGTAGTTTGTACTGTAATAACCTACTAATAGCAGTAATATCATGGATACACTAGATGTACAACAACATCTGAAAAATATTCACCCCAGTCTAGAAAATAATGTTTATGCTGCTAATAGACTGCCCATGTACACCCACGTACCAACGTATATAATATGCAATTTGGGTACAGATGATAAACCAGGGTCACATTGGGTTGCTTTATATATCGATACGAATGACGTCGGTCAATATTTTGATTCATATGGACGAGCACCTGTACGATATCATGTAGAGTTTTTAAAAAGGAATTGTAAAAGATGGAACTGGAATGTTGATAGGATTCAGAATGAATGGACTTCAGTTTGTGCCGAATATTGCTTAATGTATTTGCTATATAAGTTTCAGGGATGTTCAATGCATAGCTTTACGAGTATATTTACAGGGAACACATTGAACAACGGTATTTTAGTGGATGAGATGTTTCGCTCCTATTTTATAGATAATAAGTAATAAGATTTTGTATTTTGTAAATAAAAATTGTAACAAAATTAGGTAATGTATTTTATTGATGATTCAGATTAGCGTTGCAGTTAGGAACAAAGGAGTATAATACAATAGCACTGATAAGCCGACGCACACGCTGAGGAAGAATAGATAATGACGGTATTCAATGAACAATAGATAAATAGATAAGAACAATGGTGTGCTAATGACGGTGGAGGCCCTCATCGGATATCAATTATATAAGAGTTAATTGATCTGCACATCTCCGGAACCGTGCATCCTACGCAAAAACGGACCGCATATTCGTGATCAGAGCATGCCAAAACCTTTTTTAGGATCGTGAGTCGACGAACGTTGTACCACTTCTGACTCAGTGAGCCAGAACTGGTACTAACTAACTACTAGAAGGCGTTGTCACCTTTCTTGAAGAACAAGACCACCGCACTTCTGCTCCACGCCTCCGGAGTAGTGCCACCATGGAGGACGGAATTAAAGAGCCTCTGAAGGACTTCAAGTACCGGTTTTTCACCCGCTTTCAGAAGCTCCGCTGTAATTCCATCCTCGCTCGGGGATTTGCAGTTTTTAAGGTGCTGGAGAGCCGTTCTGATCTTGCTCAGACTGACGTCCGGGATATCAGCGGTATAGTGTCGGATAAGACTTGCTCTTGGATCGTTAATCACAATTGCGTGTGGCTCCAACGATGATGTTTATGCCTGTGTATAGCTGCCCATAGAACCTCTCAATCACACTCAGAATCTCAGGTGTCCCGGAAACGATGCTGCCACACTCAGTCTTCAGCTTTGACAGTTGGCTCTTATTGGCTAACAGATCTCTGGCAAAGACTTTGGACTCCTGGTTCCTGCTCGATCGCTTCTTCAATACGAGCAGTATTAAAGTTGCGCAAGTCTCACCGTATGCATTTGACGATCTGTCTGTTCAGTTTCCTGTATGCTGTCGAATCTGTAGACGATTGCAGCCTCATCTCCCTTCTAACAGCCATGAGATTAAGAGTGTGATCGGAGAGTTTTTGTGTTCTTCTGCGGCGTGTCTTACAGAACTTAGCTCCAACCGCATGGACAGTTCAATCTGATTTTTAGTCGAACCGTCGACCAGGTTCACTTCCTGTGAGGCCGTTTCTGGAAGAAAGAGTTCATCATAAAGAGTACCTCTTTCTCCATAAAGTCGGCCAGCTGCTGGCCCCTACGGTTCCGTTGCCCTACTCCAAATTTCCCTAACTTCAGCTCACCGCTTTCTCTTTTGCCTAGTTTTGCGTTGAAGTCTCCCATCAACACCGTGCAGTGGGTTTTGGAGGAATGCATGGCTCTGGAAATATCCTCATACATTTCCTCCACCTCCTCATCGGGATGTACCGAGGTTGATGCGTAAACCTGGATGACCTTCAGCGAATACCGTTTGGTGATTCTGAGTATCAGGTACGCGACCCTCGTCGACTCACTCCCAATCTTTACAACGCTGTTGACGAGAGACTTGTGGACGATAAATCCGACACCTCCTTGGGACAGGTGGTCGCCCTCCCGGTGATAGAACAAGTTGCCGGACTCGAGAATTACCGTGTCCTCCTCCCTCTCTCCGGACCTCGGATAATCTAATAATATGCCAGCGCAACTTGTCTACCTCTTCTTTCAGCTCCATCATCTTCTCGTCAGTCCTCAGGGTGCGTGCGTTATATGTTGCCAGGTCGAGTCGTCGTAGGTGGCAACCGAACCTCCACCAGAGATTCTTAGCACCCCGTGTAGTGGCGATTGAGAATATCCACTACCCCATATCTTTCCGTGGGTGTTTTAAGAGGCGACAGAGGGAGACAGGCAGGGGATGAGCAGCAGCATGTTCCTAATAACAACAATAGTATAATAAAAAACTGCACTTGCCAACCCGCTTGCCAAGCGTGGCAACTATGGCAAATATCCCCCCATGAGTAACAATATAATTAGTGTTAAATTCTATCTGGTTATAAAATTGGTTTTAATAACTTATAACTACTTTTCTAAATTATTTTCTGGAATTTATTTCAAAATAAGAGCTAACAGCCTGTCTGTGTGTCAGTTATTGCAAAACAACATTGCAAAATAAAATTCTCAGACTTGCATATTATTAATAAATCTAAATGTTACATGAAACTACACTATAATGCATGTGAGCCGAAGTAGCTCAGATAGCTCGCTCGCTGTAAATCTCAGAGAACGCGAGCAATCGGGTTCGATCCCCGTCAGCAGCGGGCCGGCACCAATGAAATTGTTAATTGCAATTTTAAGTGTTGATTAACCACATGCTCGGCGGTGGAGAAAAACATCGTGAGGAAACCTATTTCTCTGATAAGAAATAATATTTCAAAGACATGTGAAGTTCACCAACATCCATTGGGGCAGCGCGGCAGACACTTCCTTGCCGTAAAACCCCCTCAGAAATAAGAGGAGGCCTGTGCCCAGCAGTGGGACTTATATAGGCTGTAAGTTTTACACTATAATACTGTATGAATTACTTTTTTAAATTAGAGTTAACATAGGTATAGGTAAATTAATATAGATGTTGAGGATGCCATCAGGAATGAAGCTAATGTTGCCCAATTACTATGAAAACAAAACTACAGAATCTTATCTATCCATAATCTTACCTCCATATATTATATTATATCTGTTATATTAAAGGAATAAATAAAACTCTATTTATTGCGATAAAATTTATAAGTACGTAAATATTGAAATAAATAGATACATGATTACAAACATGTTATACACCATAATAATTGGTAGGTTAGAATTCAGTAAAGTGTATTATGCTAACATTTCATAATTATAAAGTAAAAGTACCTACATAAATGTTTAAAGAATACAAGCCAGATTTTCTCTAATTTACTAAAACCGATTAAGGAATGATAATAATACTTTTAACTTAAAAATCTATTTTACCCACCCACCCAAAAAATTGTGGTTGTGACAATGGATATGTTTTCGAAAAAATGCAATCGATATTAAAATGCATAAATCTCTTAGAAACGAGTTTGTTTAGCACCTGAGTCTGTTGAGATTGTATTAAAGTCTTCTTTGTATAAACTTACATCTAATTAAATTTATTACATACCAAATATAATACATTAGTTTGGCAATCATAAACACATGCTATCAACATAGACGGCTGATTAATGCAAAAACACAAATAACAAACTTATATTGTGTTGGCTTTAATAATAATCAACCTACAACAAAATACATTTTTTATGTTCTTGTATGAATTTTTTAACAATTAATATTTAAATCAAGATACACATGGCAATGTTTTTATTCTTAAATTAAATTATAATATAATAAGAATGTGTGTCACACACAATGTTTAATTATATTTTTTCAGATAATTTCATATAACATCCTATGAGTTCTTTTCACTGAATGGTGCTGCAGAATTTATATTTTTGATCCTATGGTTTAAAGGTACAAAAGACTACATGTACCTTGCAGAGTACTTTTACATAATATTATTAATTATTAGTTAAAAATGAGAAAGAATAATCTGTTTATTTTATTACTCAACCGTGTATAATAAAAACTGACTTAGAAAATAATAATCAAAATGAATACTAAATTTTCATGGGCTGTCAACCTTTCTGACTCCTGTGTGACTGCTACTTTACTGCTCATCTTTATCTTTGGCACCATGTTTTAGAATGCGTGTAAATTCAACATAGTCAAACAGACCGTCACGTATTGGTGCCTCACGAAGCATTTCATCAACATCATCATCAGTGAATCTGTCGCCCATAGTGGTGAGTAATTCACGCAGCCGATCCTCAGCAATTACACCATTGTTTTCTTCATCAAAACATCTAAAAAAAGAAATTTTTTGGAATTAATGTTTAGATAAGTACTAATAATGCCGTGGTAGCTGAGATAGTTAGCGCTTGCTGTAAATTTCACAGTACGCGAGCAAACTGAGTTCGATCCCCGCCGGCACCAATGAAATTGTTGATTGCAATTTTGAGTGCTGATTTACCACATGCTCGGCGGTGAAGGAAAACATCATGAAGAAACCTGCATGTCTGAGAAATACGAAAAAAATATTTCGAAGACATGTAAAGTTCGCCAATATACATATACATATACATACGCATTGGGGCAGCACAGCGGACAATTCCTTGCCCTAAAAACCTCTCAGGAATGAGCATGGAGGCCTGTTCCCAGGAGTGGGACGTATATAGGCTGTAAATTTAAGTACTAATAAAATTTATTTAATAATACAAATCAATGTTATGAGCATCATATAGCAAAGGCAAGAGGGCAAATATACCAAATTTCCTTTCAAGTAGTGCTACCATCACTTTCACTTTCACATTATCTACTAATAGTATAAAATCCATCCAAACCCAAGTTTTCTACACTGACTGACTGGGTTCTATGTTAAACAACCCACCTGGCCCAATATGATAAATATAAATATTTTTTTCAAAACCTTATTTCCAAAAGCAGTAAGAAAGGTATTTGTTTATTACTTTGACAAAGTAATCACTGTTTAAGAAACACCACTATACTACCAATAGTGATCCCAGTGAGTAGTGATTGATAAAGGCATATATTATGCTCAACTGGCATGCCCTAATGACCATAGCTCCAAGTGATTTGAGCCTAACCAGCTTTTAAGACCAGCGATCAGTGCATTGAAGTCATTGACTTATATGTTACTAGCATAAGGACCGGGCCGACCGAACAACTAAAACGGACCAGTGCGCTGGCCCTAAAATTACAGTTTAGGGCCAACGCGAATCGGTCGACAGTAGTGCGCGCGCAGGACAGATTTGCCTGTCATAAATATGTCTAGCTGCGTGGTAAAAGAATGCAAAAACTACGATACAAAGATTTTACAAAATGGGATATCGTATCATCGGTAAATAACTTTATATTAATTTTGTTACAATTAAATTATTATATAAGCGCATTTTAAAAGTTTTATTTTACACTTAGTTTAGTTACGTTACCAAGATTAGGGTTGGATTCAGACCCTCAAAAATATTGTATGTGGAAATCAAAATTATACTATTTAAAAAAATTATATCGTGTGTTACGATTCATGTTTCTATTTTCCCATGTGCCGGGATTTTGGCGTCACGCGTCTAGTTTATCAATACTTTTCGTTTTTTGACGGTTTCCTTTAGACAAAAATTAAACAGAAATAAAAATTATTTCTGTTTAATTTTTGTCTAAAGGACTTAGTGTAAGTTAAATTTTGAATATTGGTACCTAATATATTTAATATTCAATAAGGGTAAAACGAAAAGAGTACAAAAGAAACAATATCTGCTTAATTGAATCTAAAAATCTGATTCATAAAATATTTTGAAATTCTGTTTTCAAACCGATTGCTTCTGGAGCATAGAGTTTTTACTATGGTAGCCCCTCATTATAGTTGTAGACCAGAGAGGGAGCTAATTCTAATTTTATTAAAAAAACGCGGTACTGATATACAATACAAAAATTATCGATATCGTAGGGTAAATATTAAAATATAAAAGGACCCAATAATAATACAAGTCGACATTTAGATTAAATTTTGGTATTTTTGCTTTGTATTATTATGATACTATATACTACAAACTATGAAATAATGGTATAATAAGAATAATTATACTATGAAATCCGACCCTGGTTACTTCGTGTTTTGATAGGACGTTTGTATTATGACAGATGCGCTACTTTCTCTTGTATGAAAAAGTTATGAGTAAAATATTTAGATGGGCCTATCCTTCCTTTTGAAATCACTGAAGTACACAGTTTTATAATCTACAAAATTAATGCAACAAGAAGATATTTGGGCTACTATTATGTCACATCATATTCTAGTGATTAAAGTAAACCCACGTTAACCCAGTCATACAACAAAACCAAAGATTTAATATTTATATCTATGTATTTAAACACAAACATAAGCCTCAAAACAATATACAAAATTTTGCCTCAAAAAAACTTTTTTCAAGAGCACTATATATAAGCACCGTATGGTATAGAATATAGTGTACATCCAACCATCACAGTCTACCAAGTTCACTGCTGAAAATTCCATTCACAGATCAGTCAAAATTTGCACAGTTGTCACACTTGGCTGGTGGGTTGGCACCCACAGTTTTTATTTTCTATTTATTATTATGAAAACTCTGCTACTCATCTCCTGGTTTGTTTCTATTGCCTCTTACAACTCCAAAGGGACTATATACAGGTATAGATATTCTAACTCCACCATTTAGTTAATATATACATACAAACAATATAATATATTAATGATTTAGAAATTTTCCTCGTGGTAGAGCCATGCTGCAGTTGTATTAGTAGTATAATTGTAGCATGTATGGGTTTGATCGACTGGGGAAGAATCAAACTCTCTCTCACAGAATACCAGCATACAATAGTAGCTTAATGCTGCTGTGTTTTGTATTGTAAGTGTAGAGAACCGGAGACCCTTTTTACTGGGAATGAGGCATTACATCTTAGTCCTTACGGTTGACAATACACATGCATTTTGATTCATAATCGAGGATAGATGTAGATGTCTATGGGCCACAGCAAGCACTTACCATCAGGTGGACTGTGTGCTCTTTTGTCACCCTATATCCTATAAAGAAAAATCACTATCCCCTTTTTTGCCGATCTCTATCACAAATCGATCGAAATAGTTTCTTCAATAAAACCATCCCTTTGTAATGATTTTGTTCTAAGCTAACCTGACCGTCAAATGTTGTGACCGTGCAATTTTTAGTTTTGATTTATTCTGATCTAAGTTCTATTGTTTACTCACCCAAATGCATTCTTAATAACATCCTCAGGATCTGTACCTTGCAGACGCTCACCAAAGAGTGTAAGGAACATGGTAAAATTAATAGGACCAGGTGCCTCATTCATCATATTCTCTAAATATTCTTCAGTTGGATTTTTTCCTGTTTAAGAAAACATAGATTGATGACTATGAACAACTGAAGCATTGAGAGCAACGGGGGTGTTCGCACCAAAACCCGTTTCGAAGTTATTGAATCAAAATAAGTTATGCATCTCTCCTAGATGATGTAAGAATCATTTATTTTTAAGGTGGCACTCCAACCTTGTTGCATATGTTACAAATGTGCATTTAATTTATATGTTTAATTTTGCTATTTTAGAACTTCGGAAGACATAGCAAATAGCTAAAATCCTTGGAAACCATTGAGACAGAGAAACAACATTTGAAAGATAATTTAAATTTGCAACCAATAGAGAAACTTGGATTAAAAGAAGGATGTTTAGTCAATAATGCCTTCAATGAAACCCAGGAATCCTAAATGTCTTAAAAAGGTTCTGACCTTTCAAGAGCAATAACATGTTGATCCTCAACCTGGACCATCTAGGAAACCAGTAAGACCTACTAAGGAAGAGTTTGATGATTCAAAACAATTGATTTTAACGAATCAGATTAAAAATATGTTTAGACTTATTTTAACATGTTCAAAACAATAAAACACACAAACTACGTTCATTTAACATTATTGTTATTTACTTTTAAATAAAACTGATTCATTTAAGTATCTAAAATTATTGTAAATTTATTTCCTTAAAAACCAACAATAAACAAAATGCTCCATTTATTTACCAATTGGGTGCAACAAAGGCCGATAACAGACATAAAACAATAGATTTTCAATAATAAAGTTGTTAAGAATTAATTCGCACATATCAGCTCAATAAAATAAAATGATGTGTCTTACCTACGAAGAGCAAAAACCCTCCTTCAATTAATTAATTTAAAAGGTGAAGTAGACTCTAGTAGAGTCTAAGCACGTGTCATATTATCGTCGATGGTGTGTCTTTCCTAGTATAATGATGTTGGGAGTAGTGGTGCTGGGATTAGAGTAGTTATGCGCAAAACAGTGCATTTTAAAGTGATGTAATATGACATTACATTTCGTACCGAGGAATGTTGCATTACACCATGACACCATACATGACGCGAAATGACGTGCTAGTGCCACACGCGATGGCCATTGTTATGAAATGCTCGCGTGGTAGTAGAAGATATACATCATTTCAATGAGATACTGCATTATATTATCATAGTGTGACATGAGAATTGTCAAACGAAATGCGCCGAATGTACCTACACCTTCTTTTGCTATACATAAAGTCGATTTTCCTTCATACTTAACCCCAATCTATGGAATCATTCAATCAAAGGGGCATTCCAAGCTTAGGACTGGCAATAAACATGGATTGCAATATTGATTATCGACCAAGTCTATAAATATTGGCGTATTTAAAAATCGATTTCATATATAAAATACTGAAAATATGTAATATGAACACCGAACAGCACGGCGGCGCGCGCTCGCGCGCGTCATGTTTGAGTGTCATGTGTCATGCTTAATTTGGTCCAGTCATGTGTAATGCTAAAGTACGCGGTCGGGTTATATGACGCGCAATGTAACAATCGCATTACTTACACAAGTCTAGATTAGAGGTGACGGGATTAGTGCATGCAATTGAGGGAGGGCGGGTGGTGCTCTTCAAACTCTTTACTGAGCGGATGTGTGCGAATTAATTCTTAACAACTTTAATATAATGGATTTCCGCAAAGTAAAGCCTGATTCTGATATTATCTTCAATAGTTTTTACCTACTTTAAAGTAATTATACCCGAATCATTTAATTAAATTATAGGACAAATGTATAATCAAGTATACAGGAGTCATACCATAAACATTAAAAAGTTTTATGACATTAAAACCTTTATTTATAATTTTTTCAGAACATATTTTTACGAGATACACCCTTATTGCACCCAATGATTCAACTTTAGATTCTTAGTTCATTTTGCATTATTGTGAACATTAGTTCAACTGTAAAAATGTTCAAAAATTAAGCAGTTCAATTTATTTATTTATTATCCATAAAATAATTGACTTTTAAGTGGTAAAAATTGTTTACCCCTAAGAGTCCATCTAGGTGTAGGGCTTTTTCAGCAACAACATTTGTAATGTTAGCTAAAGAGGCTTTTACAGCTAAAAGATTATAATATGGAAAGGGAGTGTTGTGTGATGATTATGATAATAACATTAAAACTTTATAAGAGCATAATTCAGCAATGTAAGGACTTACCAAGAGAGGCAAGCATATCATGAAGGTCATCTTTATCTACAAAGCCATCTCGGTTTTGATCTATCATATTGAATGCCTCCTTGAATTCAGCAATTTGAGCCTGATCAAACATAGCAAAAACATTTGAAGTAGCACGCTGGGCGCGTTTTTTATTGGTGCCGCGACGGCCAGCTGTCTTGCGGGACGACATGATCTAAAAAAACATTCTTACTAAAAAATATTCTTTTAACAACATTTTACGTAAAACAATACACAGTATAATAATAAATAAATAATTTTATGATACATTATTCGTACGTTTCTTCAATATATAATATTGTACAGCTCAATGTGAAGTTTCTCAGAATAAAGAACACCACCAACTACAAGTTTTGTTACACATTGCGAATTACTTACTATAAAACTCAACAAGTATAAAAATAAAATCTGACACCATTCACCAAGCAGGCTCGGCGTATTATATCCCTTGTCTTATTAAACGCGCTACTCGTCACTTAACACGTTAACACGTTAACGCTCGCTAACCCGAAACTGACTCACGCCCTCAATTATTATCAAAAATTTTCAACAAGATTCGATAGTAAAATATGTGACACACAATCCCAAAGACCGAAGAATACCATAAATGGTAGTGTTTTAACGTAACCAGCCAGTAAACTCAAGGATGCTAGATAATATACCATCTGTTATACTTTTAAGTCATTTAAAATACACTCGAACTTCATATACGTTACTTACATCTCACAATTTATTATAAAATTAAACCTTCCCACGTCGATGGCAACAGTTTTAGCTATTATAATAAAATAAAAACCTATCAAAACTTAATTTCACTTCTAAAATGGAATAAATGACTCAGTCTCACTCTCACAGACAGATCTAATCATAATCAGTCGTACTGTCGTAGGCACGTCGGTTCAAAATCGATTCTTTGGAGTAAAATTATCGATTTTTAGATCGATTCGAAGCTCCGCATCGATTCACTGAATCGATCCAAAAACCTCTTGAATCGGACTAATTCACTTGATACAAGAACTAGCTAAAATTCCCAAACTGGGTGGGGTAAGATACCACAGTTTTTTAATTTTTTGCTGTTGGGGGACGCAAAACAACCGGTCGTACTTGGTTAATAATTTGAACGCAATATATATTTGAATAAAATTTATGAACGCATCCAACAATATCGAAAAGTTGTCATTTCATTTTCATTTCTAAAATTCTTAAGCCCACTTTCCACTAAGCGATATAACGTAATTTATATTACATCTCGAGATATAAATTAATAGTGCTGACCGTACTTTTAAATGGAACCGTTTCCACTGAGATGTAATATATATTACATCCCAAACTATAAATATTTTTTCGATCGACCAAGTGATATTTTCATATTATATTTCACCTCCTGTACTATAATATAATATAATATTATAGCTGTGAACCTGTGTGAACTGTGAACTTGTGAATTTACATTATTTATTATCAAAAATATACATACTGTGAGCTGTAAGTACAGACAGAGTACTTTTTAAATACCTAGATACTGTAAATAAATATTATACCATACGTTGAAGTTTATAGAGGTTTATAGTAAGGAAATAACTAGTATTGTGTTCGTGTAGCATTCATTTCGATATGATAAATAGTGAGTTATTAGATTGAAACAGATTTATCGAGAAATGTACGTTGCAGTTCTGTTAAAGTACTGTTGTTGTTTTTAGCCTAAAATGTCAAATAAAAGTGTTACGTCGAATCACTTTGTAAAAAAAAGGGATCGAGTGGAGTATGTGCGAACCACTCCTAACACAAGCGTTTCAAGCTTACCAAGAGTGGTTAAAAGGAATATTAATAATGTTAATCAATAAGATTACTAATATTTTATTAAAAAAAAAACAGTTTAGAAGTTAAATAAAAAAAATCGAAAATTCTTGAAATTTCATGTTTGAAAATGTCGCGATTAATCGAAAATCGATATTTTAATCCTCGATTTAATCGATAATCGATTCAAGTACCTTCGATTCAAATCGATTCAGAGATCGATTTTTTAAGAGTGAATCGACATGCCTAATCTATGGACAGATCACTACATATACCACGTTAGTACTCTTATTAGTTTGTGTATATGGGTTTAAAGTAGTGTTGCCAAATCAAAACCGGTCCGAGTCGCCAAAAATTTGACACCAAGTAGCCTAAAATCGCCTACTGTAATATAAGGTATGCAGCCCATAAAGGCTGTATTTAAACGGAGACCTACCTTAATCAACCTTATTTTTAATTGTATCAGGATAAAATAATGCTGTTTTTGTAAAAAATATTCATATTTACAAAAAACGAAATATTTTATTTACATATAAAGAGATCTATGAAGTAGAAGAAGAAGAATGTAATTTTGTGGCGGCGCTATCGTCGCGCCACAAGAGAAAATGCACCGATGCCTAAATCGGTAACAGTGGATGGAATAATTGAATTAAGTGTCAAGTCTGTGGTATTTAGGATATATTATGGAAATTGTGCAGTTTAATCATATCATAAACAGGTGTGAAATTGATGCAACACACTATTCTAACACCTGTCAGAAAAGTGTGTTGCATCAATCATCAAAACTCGGGTACTTTATAGTAAAACATACGAAATCAACCAACAATCGAATATGTAGAAAACAGGGAAGGGAAGGGGAATACCGGGCGTGGTGGCGGTGGCAATGACAAACAATGCAAAATATATCCATTTCTCTTGATCTCTGAATCACTGCATATAAAGAATATTTTTGATACTTTTATCCAGTTTTCTGTAATATTTCTCTGTGACAAAAACGTACGTTTCATTACGCGCATTTTAATTACATATGATATATATTTAAAGAGAGATTAATTTAGCATACGTAAAAATCGCCCTTGTTTTCTTCGAAGTAGCCTAAATTGCGACTAGTCGCCAATCGCAATTTTTAGTCGTCCCGGCACCTTTCGAGATAGCCTAAAAGGCGAAAAACTTGGCACCACTGGTTTAAAGTTTAAACTAGTAGTCACATTTTCCGTATATATACTACGTTAGTACTCTTATTAGTTTGTGGTATATACACTCTAATATAAAACTCTGCAATAACTATTTTTGTAGTGTATATTTCCTTCCTCCTTCTTTCCTTCTTCTGCGCTACCATTAAGTAAATAAAATGCAGCGTACTACTCCTTCCGCAAAATAAGTTTAATCGGACTCTAACTCGAATGCCATAAGTGAAGTCAGTGCTCAAGGTAAATCGAATATTACTACTCGATTGAAAAAGAAACGATCTGTTGAAGAGCAATTGAGCGATTCTTTTAATACTATAAAAAAGGAATTATTTTAACTAATTAACTCAAAATTTAGCACATTACATGATGAAATGAATTTGCTCAAACGACAAACCTCAAACATATGTAAAATCATTGAATTCATGTCGGAGAATTTTGAAGATTTAAAAGTAAAAATAAACGAATTGGAGAAAGAAAGAAAAGAAAATAAGAATTACATCAAGGAACGGGAAGCAAGGCTAGAAGCTTTCAAAAGCACAACTATTGAATTAAGGAACATACCAAAAAAAAAAACAAGGCGAGACAAAACATGGTCTGCGTGGTCTAACGCAATCCATCGGCAGAGCTCTTTCTCCAGTAGGTGGTGTTCCCACTTTTTCGTAAAGAAGCATTTATTAAGAAAGCAAAGAAATTTAATAAGGAACATCCCGGAAAACCTAACACTCAGTTGTTACATCTCGGATATCCAACAGGTCAGATATAGTATGTATCTGAAAGTCTTACAGCAAAAATAAGAAGTCTTTTTTTGCTTTCCAGAGATCATGTTAAAACAAGAGGATATGACTATTGCTGGCATTCTTATGGCAAAATTTTTCTTCGTAAAAAAAAAGGGTGCACCTCATATTCTTATTAAAATGACAAACATTTGGACGACCTTCGAAATCACTCTTGAATTAAGAAGAATAATACTGCGTCGTTTTTATTACTATACTATATGCTGGTTAAATATTTTAGCATATATACTTATCATAATATTAGAATTTAATGTACTACTAACTATATTTTGTTATTTATCCACATATCATACTAAGTTTGGTACACACTCTTCACCTTCGATCACAACACACAATTCACTTAATTTTTACACACTTCAAAACATACAACTTTATAACGCTATTAGATTACCATTACCTATCGCTGAACAAAGAATTTGTTTGATGTCTTCTGATATTTCCTCCTTGTGTTATTTTACTTTGAGCTTGTGGTCAGTTTATCATTATTCTTAAATATAGGTCTTAAAGTTTGCTCTTGTTGTAACAAATAATAACAGTATAATAAATACTAAAAATCTTACTACCGAATTGGATAGTTATCATGTGTATCAATGTGATGCGAGTCTTGCACACAATTTTTTAGACAGTTCTTGAAACAGACTAATAATTATGTGTCAGAATATTCGTAGCATCGGACGTAATCTACCACAAGTTGAAATACTCTTGGCTCGCTTGAAGCTTGATATTAATATTATTGTTTTGACAGAGTGTTGGCTAGGAACAATTAATCATTTACCGAAATAATCATATGCATATGGTACTAAAAGAATAAGTAAAATGAAGGAGTTGTTTTTTTATAAAAGTGATATATGGCAACGTACTTGGCTTCTGGTTATTAAGATCGGAAATGAAACTGCAGTTATTGCTCTCTATCGTCCACCTTCATATCGTTCATATCAAAACTTTTTACAAACTATTAATGACATATTAGAACCGTTGAATAATTTTACTAATATTATAGTTACGGGTGACATGAACATAAATATAAATACTACAAATTCGAACCCCGACTGTGATGAATATCACGAACTTATGGGTTATTGTCTACACATTCACTGCCAACAAGATTGAACTCATGTCTGGATCACGTATTTTTACGGTCTAGTTTGAAGGCAATAACTTTAATAGTTTCTTCTACTATAACGGATCACTATACAATTCTAACTTGTCTCGAAAACCATAAAACTCCGTTAAGCAAACCTAGACTTTACAAATTAATTAACTATGAAAAAGTCGCATCTGAATTGAATTTGGAAGTACTTAATTCTATATTAAATTGCAATGATGTTAAAATCGCCAAGAATATGTTAATAAAAGAGATTCAGAGAGCTATAGACGTACATACTACTATAAAGACAGTTCCCTCTCGCAAGAGAATAAAAGTTCCCTGGCTTACTCAAGAGTTACTAAGGTGCATTAGACATAGAGATAAACTACATCGTGATGTCATAAATCACCCTGATGACATAAATCTTACGATTATATATAAACGCTATCGAAATTTTTTTGGTGATGTAATAAAAAAGTTAGGGCAGATTTTGATAAAAATGAATTATATAAAGCCAGGAATGATAATAAAAGAAAGTGGATAATAGTTAAAAATATAGCTAAACTAAAAAGTAATCTAAGGCCTTTAAATACTAATCTTCTTAGTTTAAAAGCCAGTCCTGTCGAATCAATTAACTATATTAATGATTATTTTGCCAACATTGGAAAGAAACTAGCATTCAAAATTTCAATAAATTACGTAACGAATAAGTCATCAACAGCGAACTCAAATTTAATAAATCAATCTCAATCTTTGGGCATGAGACCCACCGATCCACTGGAAGTTGAGTGTTTATTGAATAATCTTAAATATAATTCTGCACCAGGCTACGATGGCATTTATAACCAAGTGCTTAAATCTACTAAGCACCTGATAATTCCGTCTATTGAGCACATTTGTAACCTGAATCTTGAATCAGGTGTGTTTCCTGATCAGTTCAAGGTTGCTTTGATAACACCCATACACAAAGGTGGAGACTGAGATAATGTCAGTAACTATCG